CGTGAAGATAAAAAGACAGACACAGCTCTACAATCCTGCCTTATCCATTCAAGCCTCCATAGACACTGGGATGTAGGATTCTAGAATTAATACACTGAAAGAATCGAGGAGCTGCCGCCACCTGATAAATCTTGGCTTTAAAAGTCATTCATAACAAGGTGTTCTGGCAACATGTACACATATAAGTAAGTCTGCTGATAGGATACAGCGAGAAATGGAAGAAATGTTTGGTAAACATATTACTCATTTTAATTGCTAAATGTTATCAAAGGTGGAAAAAACATAATAGAAAAATCATAAAAAATACTTGATTAGAAAAAACATGTATTATAGAAAAGACAGTGTCACCTTTATGGGTAAAGTAACTAATTTCCTAATATTGTAATCATGATACAATTTGAGAAAAGACAGTGTCACTTTTATGAGTAAAGTCATTCCTTTCCTAATGTTGTAAAGGCTGTGTGTTATGTGTTGCTATATGAAAACATTCCGCTTGCCTTTTACCATTATTAACAATTCCAGGAACATGAAGCAGTACTTGCAACTGGGAACATTTGTGTTATATTCAAGCAAGTGACATTAAACAGGCCTAAGCCTAGAGTAAAGGGAATGGCACGGGTGTTACTTGCTGCACTATAATCAAGGCCATCTTTTGTGGTTGATAATGAACCACCAAAATGACAAATAAAGAAAAACCATTGATCTTACTTTGCATGTGTATGCACGCAAAGCGAAACTGGAAGTGTACATTTAAAAACTGCTAATATATGATTACAATACAATATGATTCCAGATAAGTGTATTTCTGATTGCTGCTGTTAGGCCCAGCATACTCAAGTGCTCTTATGATATTGTACTTCTGTACAGTATGAGAAAGATGTGTCTGGAAAAGAATAGATTTATAGAGAATAGCTGCATACACAGTACTTGTTGAGATACTTAGTTTTCTTTTTTTTTATATTCCAATATTTTCAAATGTCACACTCAGTGCCACCTTAATAGCATCATGTACCCCATGGGCAAAGTAATGCACTGGGGCCCTTACCAGCCTGCATAAAGCGTCCCGGTCATAGGGTCCAGTTACATAAGGTGTCCCCATCTCAGTTCTACCACACATCAGGTTCCCATCACAGTGCCCCCCTACATTAGGTTCCCCATCACAATGCCCCTCATATCAGGTTTCCCCATTATAGTGCCCTGTACATCAGGTGTCCCCATCACAGTGCCTCTTACATCCGGTCCCCTTGTCACAGTGTTCCCTTACATCAGGTTCCCCTATCACAGTGCCCAAATACATCAGGTTCTCCCATCACAGTATTCCCCCACATCAGGTTCTCTATCACAGTGCCTATATACATCAGGTGTTCCCATCACAGCGCCCATATACAGTACATCAGGTCCCTCCCCCATCAGTGTGCCCCCTTACATCAGAGTTCCCCCCACACACACTTCCCCCCTTGTTCTCACAGATCAAAAATGCTGTTCCTACCTGCAATTAAGGCAGCTCCTCCTTCCTCTCCTGCACTGAGACTGAGGTGAGTTCTTAGTGTGGCTTTCTTCTGCCCCTGCAGCAGGCAGGAGAAAGCTGAATCCTTTCTCCAGCAGAAGCCAGCCACTGTTCCTTCTGACAGGAGTGACATTGCAGTTACTCCTGTCAAAGAGGAGCAGCACAAATGATCAAATCGCCAGTGCACTCCCCCCCACCAACAGAGCACCCGACCTCCCCCTGGTCCTGGCCCTGATCATGGGCTCCCCATGCACCTGGGGCCCCTGGGCAGTACCCATGTGTGCCCATTCATTTAGATGGCCCTGGTCACACTGTGAAAGCATAAGATGTGCCATCTCCTGTGGTTGAGTGTGTGTTATGATCTTAAAGCCCTATTATTTTGGGGTACAGGAAGATTACATTGCTGTACTCCAGGCAGCTACAAAACTACTACATTTTGCTATGCATGGGTAAAATCCTCCATGTAATCTTAAATTCAGCTGGTGTAAATTTTGATTTATACAAGCTTCATTAAATTCCCTGCACGGGACCAGATTAAGGGCTTTTTCACATGTTGGGGCAAGTAAAAATATGTGGTTGAGCTGAGGTTTTACAGCCCCCCAACTGCTCCCTTAACCCAACACAGCAGCTAGAGGGAGCTTTTGCCTATGCCATTATAGCAGCAGAAATCATACCCCATCATATTTGGTGGGCAGCACTACCTCGGAACACAACCTATTCAAGTGAATGAGGCTGTAACACATCTGCCCTGCAAGCAAAGGTTAAAACACTTGGTGCATAAATTACATACACGCGGTCCACCCATGCTTATTGCTGCAACCCCATCACTACATAACACCTCTCCCTCCGGTACCTCTGTTGCTTGAATCTATGAAATTCACTCTTAGGATTTGGTCAACTTGTGTAAAATCACACCAATTGCTATCTGGATGCCCCCATTGCTGAACATATTGTATAATCCGGACAATCCTGGATAGTCTGTCCTATTTGCGGATGCATCCTTGGGCTGATTGTGGAATATTTCATCTTCGCCATCTGATCAATCCTGCTTCACGTAAGATTCGATTGTTTGAAGAGATTAAAGCATGGAAGTCCACAATACCTGTATCAGCCAGATACACTTATTTGTAGTTTTGTCACTTTTTCGGCTCCCTGAGCGCTTATTTAACATTAGACCGCCCTACAGATTTTTAGAGGATAGCTATTTAGAGGTCCCTCCCAACAACACCTTATCGCCTCCCTATATAAATTGCTTTTTAATAGGGAACATATAGCTGAGAAGCCACATCGTTATATGAAGAGGTGGGAAGAAGAACTTCAGTGTTCAATTTCATTAAAGTGTTGGCAGGTGATATGGGATTCTGCTGCCAAGTCCTCTCTCTGTGTTGTATACAAAGAAAATATATATGATGTGTTGATGCATTGGTATAAGACTCCCGTGGTACTCCATGCAATTAGCCCAAGTTTATCTGATAGATGCTGGAGATGAGTGGATGGAGTGGGTACATTGTCACACATCTTTTGGTTCTGCCCGCGGATTGTGGAATATTGGGTTATGGTTCAAAGGGTATTGGAACAAGTACTTAATGTTGCCCTGCACCTAGACCCACTTCATTATCTGCTGGGCTTATCCTTTAGAGCTATTCCCAAACCATCTAAACGGTTGGGACTACACATTTTGACAGCTGCTAGAAGGGTGATACAGCATTTTTGGAAGTCACCAGATACGCCATCACAAGATCATTTCATAGGAGCGATCTCTGAAATAAGGAAAATGGAATATCTTATGGTCTTAGTGGGTGAGCATTCAGGTATTTTCCACTCCATTTGAGGGGCTTGGGATCATTCTCCTTTTGGTAAATCCACTTCATACCCTCCTTTATCATCTTCTCTCATATAGTCTGGATTCTATATTATATATATATCATGCCTTTGACCAGGGGCAGACTGACAACTCATGGGGCCCCCGGGCAATAGGGGATCATGGGGCCCCTGTGTCCTTGCCCAAACTCAAAAAAGCCTATGAAAAAGGTACCAAGGGCATCTCATGGGGCCCCCTACTGACCCCGGGCCCTCGGGCACTGCCCGAGTTTCCAAATGGTCAGTCCGCCCCTGCCTTTGACTAATATTGCAATTTACTGAAATCTGAAGATATTCAGGTTTATAACGTTTCATGATTTTAAAGAATACTGAATAACATGCTGTTTGTATATGTTCTTGCTTTTCTTGTCCTTGTTTATTTCTGAGCCGATGATAGACTTCTGTCATTGTGACGTTTTTATATACGCTGTGTTTCTGTTGAAATTATGTACTGTTTGAAAATTTGGGCTCTGGCCCTTAATAAAAATTTACAATAAAAAAAAAAAACACTTGGTGAGGATACAACATATCGCCTCCCAGTCCCATGTCCACCACCTACCACCTTTTGAAAAGCAATCCATCACAAAATGCTTTTAAGAGGAGTGGAAAGGGCTGCCAAAATTGTAAACAAGCCCTAAGAGAAGGAGGGGCATTACTACAAACCAATTAGACTCTATTGCGCTATACATTTCCAGTAATCTAACACTGAACGCTTGCTGAAGGAAGGAGAGAGCAGAATGGGTAGGTCAATGACCTCACTGAGGTCAGATCTGCAGAACCTTCATTATTTAAATAGTAGGATGCAGTCAGGCTAGTATCATAGCAGCATTGTATACCTGCCATGTAAAAGAGTGGTATGATGGTTTTGCACTCAACTGACCAAACACTGCAGGGATGTCTTTACTCTTACTCTTACCCTTGTTAGCTGTGAACATAGGAGTCATAGCAATCCTTTCCGTTTTCACCACTGCTTGGTTAATCTGGTTTTAACTAGTTTCTGAGTCAATATACAGTATATGTGGATTGAAGACAAAGAATGGCTGAGTTCAACCAGGGCTCCAACAAGACTGCCTTGGAAAAAAGGAATACCACTTCCAGGAATTTTAAATTAAATTATGAGCTCCCCTTGACGTCAGTGATAATGTATTTATCTATTTTATCTTCTGTAATACAGCTTTAACCACTTGCCTACAGGGCAGTTATACCCCCTTCCTGCCCAGGCCAAATTCCAGCTTTCAGTGCTGTCACATTTTGAATGACAATTGCGCGGTCATGCAACACTGTACCCATATGAAATTTTTATCATTTTTTTGAGACAGGTAGAGCTTTCTTTTGGTGGTATTTAATCACCTCTGGGATTTTTATTTTTTCTTAAACAAACCAAAAACCACTGAAAATTTGGGGGAAAAAACATTTTTTCTTAGTTTTTGTTATACAATTTTGTAAATACATGATTTTTCTCCTTCACTGATGTGCGCTAATGAGGCTGCAGTGATAGGCACTGATAGGCTGCACTGATGGACACTGATAGGTGGCACTGATGGGCACTGATGAGGAGGCACTGGTAGGTTGCACTGATGGGCATTGACAGGCATCACTGATGGGCACTGAAAGGCAGCACTGATACATGACACTGATATATGGCACTGATAGGCAGCACTGACTGGCACTGATAGGTGGCACTGACTGGCACTGTTAGGCGGCACTGACTGGCACTGATAGGCGGCACTGATGCGCACTGATAGGTGACACTGACTGGCACTGATAGGTGGCACTGATTGGCAGCACTGATAGTTGGCACTGATTGGCATTGATAGGTGGCACTGACTGGCACTGATGGGTGACATTGAAAGGCAACTCAGATGCTCACTGATATGTGGCATTGATGTGCACTGATATGTGGCATTGATGTGCACTGATATGTGGCATTGATGTGCCACTGATGGGCACTGGCACGTGGCACTGATGAGCACTGACTGCTGGCACTGATGGACACTGACAGGTGGCACTTCTGGGGCCACACTGATCATCAGTGCCCTGATGATCAGTGTACATGTCCCCTCCGCAGAAAGCCGATTACCGGCTCTCCTCTCCTCTGGAGAGAAATGCCGATAACCGGCATTTCCGTGTTTACATGTGATCAGCTGTGATTGGACACAGCTTATCACATACCCGAGCCGCCACCTTCGGCTCTTTCCGTGATCCGCTGTGTCGTGGGATCGCCGCACTGCGCGCTCCCTGAGTCGCGCATGCGCGGTGAGAACGAGAGACCACCTTGCGCCCGTCATTGTACTATATGGCAGGCGGAAGGTGGTTAAACCAAGCAAGAAATTTTCTTTTAATATCCACTTGAGCTCTGAAAGGTTTTACCCCCTTCATGACCAGGCCATTTTTTGCTATTTGACTCTGCAATACTTTAACTGACAATTGCGTGGTCATGCAACATTGTACCCAAATTAAATTTATATGTTTTTTTCACACAAATAGAGCTTTCTTTTGGTGGTATTTGATCATCACTGAGTCTTTTATTTTTTATTATGTAAATGAAAAAAGACAGAAAAATTAAAAAAAAAAAACTATTTTTTACTTTCTGTTATAAAACATACAATAGAAAAAATTTAAAAATGAAATTTCTTCATAAATTTAGGCCAAAATAGATTCTGGTACATGTCTATGGTAAAATAAAATCCCAATAAGTGTATATTAATTGGTCTGTGTGAAAGTTACAGCATCTACAAACAATGGTATATATATTGGAATTTTTATGTATTTTTAATTAATTCAACTAATAATGGTGGTGATCAGTGACTTACCGTGGGACTGTGATGAGGGAAATCTGATACTAACTGACACTTAGTGGGAACTGACTAACTGGCACTGATATCACCAGTGACGACACTAATACAATGATCAGTGCTAATACTATACACTGTCACTGTACGAATGACACTGGCTGGGAAGGGGTTAACATCTTGGGATAATCAACAGGTTAAGTGTGTGTAATGTGTGCTGATTTTTACTAAAGATCAATTTGTTTTGCAGGCAAAAAAAATACAGAGATTGTTCCCTCTGTACAGAGCTCTGTGTTTTTTGTCAACACAGGGCTCTGGGCTGTGACTGGACACAGGCGATAAGCAGGTCCCGGCCATGAATCATTGGCCAGGACCTGCTGACTAAGTCCTGCTGTGATCTGAACCCGGAGGAAAGCTGCAATGTACAGGCACAATATTGTGCTTGTACGAGCCGCCCATCTGCAGTATACAGTGGGGATCGAATGTTTGGGCACCCCAGCTAAAAATTTGTATTAATGTGCATAAAGAAGCCAAGGAAAGATGGAAAAATCTCCAAAAGGCATCAAATTACAGATTAGACTTATAATATGTCAACAAAAGTTAGATTTTATTTCCATCATTTACACTTTCAAAATAACAGAAAACAAAAAAATGGCATCTGCAAAAGTTTGGGCAACCTGCAGAATTTATAGTATGCACTGCCCCCTTTGCAAAGCTGAGACCTGCCAGTGTCATGGATTGTTCTCAATCATCGTCTGGGAAGACCAGGTGATGTCAATCTCAAAAGGTTTTAAATGCCCAGACTTATCTGACCTTGCCCCAATAATCAGCACCATGGGTTCTTCTAAGCAGTTGTCTAGAAAACTGAAACTGAAAATAGTTGACACTCACAAAGCTGGAGAAGGCTATAAGAAGATAACAAAGCGTTTTCAGATGTCAATATCCTCTGTTCGGAATGTAATTAAGAAATGGCAGTCATCAGGAACAGTGGAAGTTAAAGCAAGATCTGGAAGACCAAGAAAAATATCAGACAGAACAGCTCGCAGGATTGTGAGAAAAACAATTCAAAACCACGTTTGACTGCACGATCCCTCCAGAAAGATCTGGCAGACACTGGAGTTGTGGTACACTATTCCACTATAAAAGGATACTTGTACAAATATGGTCTTCATGGAAGAGTCATCAGAAGAAAACTGTTTCTACGTCCTCACCACAAAAATCATCGTTTGAACTTTGCAAATGTACATATAGACAAGCCTGATGCATTTTGGAAACAAGTTCTGTGGACCGATGAGGTTACAATTGAACTTTTTGGCCGGAATGAGCAAAGGTACGTTTGGAGAAGAAGGGGCACAGAATTTAATGAAAAGAACCTCTGTCCAACTGTTAAGCATGGGGTTGGATCAATCATGCTTTGGGGTTGTGTTGCAGCCAGTGGCACAGGGAACATCTCACGAGTAGAAGGAAAAATGGATTCAATAAAATTTCAGCAAATTTTGGATGCTAACTTGATGCCATCTGTGAAAAAGCTGAAGTTAAAGAGAGGATGGCTTCTACAAATGGATAAACACACCTCGAAATCCACGGGGGATTACATCAAGAGGCGTAAACTGAAGGTTTTGCCATGGCCTTCACAATCTCCTGACCTCAACATAATTGAAAATCTATGGATAGACCTTAAAAGAGCAGTGCGTGACAGACAGTCCAGAGATCTCAAAGAACTGGAAGACTTTTGTAAGGGAGAATGGGCAAAGATACCTCAAACAAGAATTGAAAGACTCTTGACTGGCTACAAAAAGCGTTTACAAGCTGTGATACTTGCCAAAGGGGACAGTACAAGATATTAACTCTGCAGGGTGCCCAAACTTTTGCAGACGCCATGTTTTTGTTTTCTGTTATTTTGAAAGTGTAAATGATGTAAATAAAATCTAACTTTTGTTGACATATTATAAGAATGTCTAATCTGTAATTTGATGCCTTTTGGAGATTTTTCCATCTTTCCTTGGCTTCTTTATGCACATTAATACAAATTTTTAGCTGGGGTGCCCAAACTTTCGATCCCCACTGTATGTACTGTGGCAGGTCAACAAGTGGTTACACAACTTTTGAGTTGTTTGAACTATTGCACTACATGTAGACATTTGAAAGGTTAAACATAGAAACCTGTGAACAATAATAAGTAATAAGTTTAACTCTTTATTACATGAGGTGTGTGTGATCTGGCACAGGTGCTAGCAGCTGGCTGAACAGATTTACACATCTTTCCACAGGCAGAGCAGTTCACATACCCACTTAGGGGCCACTGAGTTTTGTTTGGGTCCCCCATGCTATGCACGGCTAGGCAGCACGCATTTTTTTACACTTGCATATTCAGAGTCAGTAAACAGTCCTTGAGCTGGATTTTAGTTGTTTTACTGGGATGCCCAAAGAACTGCAAACTTGAGGACGAACTTCTTAGCAACAAAAACAGTACAAAAATGTGGATCAGAAAAATGGCACTGTTTCTTTAAGGAGCACTGATGTCCCCATTTCAGACCCCGGATGAATCTTCTTCTTCACCCAGCTGCACTGAGGGTATCCCTATGCAAGGGGCTCCAAGAGCTGTCAATTAGGCAGTCCCGGATGAGAACTAGTTGGGTATTACACCTGACCGCCCTCTCCCTTTATCTAGCCCAGGAGGTGTAGGAGTACTTACACTGTCCTTTCCTGTTAGTTTGATGGGTTAGTGGCTGCCTTCAGGCCTTAAGCTGGCTGGCTCCTTCCCTGCTGCACAGGTTTTCTTCCCAAGGTGATGGTGGGGTAGAGGAGATCCTCCCTTCTAGCGACCTGCCTGTAGGTAGGCTCCCCTCCCTGAGCTCCTCTCCCAGGCTCCTCGCTCCAGCCTTCCTCTCAATCCATCTTCCGCCTTCCACATTGCACACTGCTCCCCAGGCTCTATCACATTTAAGGGTTGCCCTGGTCACCATGCCCAGCCTCCTGCCAGAGAATTGGCCAAAGTCCCTCAAACATCTGGGCCTCCTCCCCTACTCTGCCTCTCTTCCATACAGTTTTCTGAGTTTCTGGAAGGGTGGGATGGTTCCAGATGCCCTGACCTGTAGAGCTGTCCAGCCTGCACGGAGGTGAACTCCTGCCTCACTCCCAGGCTGACTTATCCCAGGCTGCTACTCAGCCTCTATCTAACAAAAATCCTACCTAAGTAACCTGGAGGATGTTATATGTACTGTATATGTAAATCAACTGCATGTGTAAATGTGTGTCTGAAGTTAACCTTTAAATAGCAATCCCAATCCAAAACTGATAGTGTTATTCAGGAACTATTGCAACTCTGCTAAAGTCAGAAAGTCCATTAACCCTGCCTTAATCTGAGTTCTGTATATTCCACTACAGCCAGATTTCACAGCTTATTCTACACAGTGAGTGTGTTTGCTTCCTTCCGGTGTTGTACAATTTCCTTATCTCTGCTTGATATATCACCAATCAATATAAACTTTTAAGGCAGAATTTAATTTAGTTTGTATCTGTAATTAGCTAAATCCTCTAAATTTAGTACATGCATTCTTAGGCGAGAGATGGTAAGGAACCTGCAGTTAATGCGTTTGAGAATACTTCTACATTACACACTTAACTGGAGTTTTCCTAGAGGACCAAATTACCAAAAGAAGAGAGATATTGCAACCTAGCTTATTAAATAGTCTAATTTAAAAAAAAAAAAAATCAGTTTTCATCCCAAAAGTAACACTGGTTAATCACACTTTTTAAAACTGATATATAATGAATAAATTATTAGTTTGACTTTAAAGACACTATAATGGTTTTGTTAATGCTCATGAATAAACTTAAAGATAATTAGCACAATAAACAGGTATTAATTATTATTAAAAATTCCACCTGCAGAGCTGGGCACTATTTACAAAGGGAAGGCATGCAGATATTCAAGGATCTTAGGGGACAGGCTGGAAGAACAGGACCAGCGCTTTTTAACCACTTGACCTCCGGAGGGTTTTACGCCCTTCATGACCAGGCCATGTTTTGCTATTCAGCACTGTGCAAATTTAACTTGCAATTGCTTGGTCATGCAACACTGTACTCAAATTAAATGTATATAATTTGTTTCACACAAATAGAATTTTCTGTTGGTGGTATTTAATC